CAGTGCCAACCGGTATCCCTCATACCAATCACTCCAACGATAACACTATCATTTCGAAAATTATCACTGTTGGCAATCGGCTAATGTCAAAGGGCGAGAATGAGGGCTTTGCAGTTAAATCGGCCCTACTGAAGTGCTGAAATACTGAAAAGGGGGCTTCCTACCAGAACAATTAAGCTAGGAAACATGCGCTTTTGGTACTGGTACCACAGATGCCATTGGGTGTCGACTTCGTACACAGAGCCATTTATAGACCATGCGGAAAGTAGCTGAACCGCATTCGTGATACGCACGCGCCCATATCCATCAATGCGGAATGGGGCCGACCATGCCGAGCATGTTTTCACGCGGCTATGCACTATCATCTGTCTTTCGGAAGCAATTCATGCCTAACTGACTCATCGGCTTCCAGGAGGAGCAATAGTCAGCCGACATCAAATTCTGCTTCGTGGCACCTCGCAGGTATTCTTGTTCTCGTCGTTCTGCCAATCTCACAACGGTGATTAACGTAAACTACTGCTGATGAGCGACTTCGCTGGTGGTCGCTGGCCCAGTGGGCTCCGAGGTGGCTGAACAGCACTACTGATAGCACACCTATGACTCCCTGGTTGGGATTGGGGATGGTCCAAAGGGGCTTCGCATGAAGTTCGTTTATGGTGTCGACAAACGGCTCGAACTGGAGGCTATCCCGGCCGACTCCTGATTGGCAGCAGTACAGTTCTTGCCATTGATCAGGGCATTTCACCGAAAAGCTGACAGATCTGGGCCCGGTGACTAAGTGTATTCAGGGGGTTGAACAATCGTCCGTGCATGAATGATCTGGACACATGTGAGCGAGCCTGCTACTACGCTGATGCCACGATTTTGCTATGGACTTCAGCCATCAAGACTGGAACACACAAAACTAGTAGCAAAAGCTGTCTATTGGTGAATTCGGATTATATCATGCACCATGATGACAAGTTGAAGTGTCAATCTGATCGCTGGTCTGCAAGAATGACGCTTCGCCAATTCACCAGCTTCCTAGACACGTCATTGGGAATGGAGTCAAGCTTGACCTTGAAAAAGGCTCGCCGACACGAATCAGCAGCTGGCTAGACTCGTGCATGGTTGTGTCACAGAAACTGGCCAGTACCAATCTGTGCCAGCGCATGTGCAAACCAACCGACGGATGATGGAGAGGACGAACCTGACAGCTCGAGGAGGCACTCGAATATGACGCCTAGAGGCTACTAAACGAGGATGGAGGTGCATGATCTTGCAGCATTTGAAGCCTGACAAGCAGGCCACACCTTGCTCAAGTACCTTAGGAGTTGACATGCAGCATGAATGCGCCGATGCAGCCAACCTTAGGTCAACTGTCAGCCACAAAGTGAGCAGTGACTCGGTTCACATGCAAAGATCTTGATCCCGCGAATGCAATGTGCGACACGCTAGCTAAACAGACGCCATTCGTTTGGCCATTGCGTACCTTGAGAGGTAGTCCAGGTAGGGTCAATACGTGACTTGGTGTTGGTCAAAGATCGAGGGGTGACAAATTCGGACCATGATCCGGCAGTTGCGGGACAACCCTGAACATAAGTTTAGGGCTGGCTATCTTGAGGGTAAGAATACGTGCGGCATCAACGCAGATAGCGGCTTATTCGTAAGGACTCTGAGCATGCCCACAATAAAACATCATCTACTAGCGCTGATCGGGTTAGAGATTCAGCAAAGGATAACCCCGATGGACATGCCACGGATGTTCACGAGCTACGACTCGATCTTCTTGGTCCCTGGCCCTCAGTCTTGCGTACTGGTGGAAGCCTTAAGTGAAAGCTCGGCGGAGATAATCTGACACCTCAGCTCCAAAGCCTGTGGCTGGGCCTATCAAAATCGCTGCTTGCCAACAAACAGCAGCCGCAGAAGAGAAATACGCCACAAATCATTTCATTAACGCCGACAAACCCATACCTCCGCTGTCATTATGCGGCAAGGGAGAGGCGGTAAAGAAATCCTCGAAGGGAGGAAGATGCCAGCCATGTGCCACATCACGTGGGGCGGGCCGAGAACGGGCGGGATGGCTTAGAGGAATTCAAGTTGACAGCTGTGCCGCCGCCGCATGCCTCGAAGGCCTGTCAGGAGACATTTTTTTTTACCGTATCCACGTCAAACTTTATTATATATCATGTCATTATTAGAAATGCGCAAAAAATCAAAGACATTCTGTTGATTCGCACTTCTGCCCCGCCACAAGCCCTGTGATGTATACATGATAGTCAGGTCTCACATTTCGCCGGCAAGAACAAATATGATCATGCTGGTGAAAGGTACTCCGTACTCAGGCGGATGGAAGAATCCTACAGCGCCTCTGGCGAATCCAGCGGGGAACCTATGATCCCCCTACCCATGTTCCAATGACGCCGGTAGGAAAGTGGTGGGTGGACGCCAAGTTCGTCCCCCCGCCTGCGCGACATTCTCAGGTCAGTATTGAAACTCTTTGACCACATTGACGTTGCATCATAGTCCCACATGAGCCAACTGGTCAGTACCTACCTGTGAATGGAACGCAGTACCTCCAATGTTTCCACCCCTGAGGACTCCCATCAATTTACTGGGTCGCTTAGAAGGCTCGCTCATTGGATTATCTGTTGGAGTGAGGCTTCAGTCAACGGTGACAGACAGGCGTATGCACGCTCAGCGAGCCTCCCTGCAATCGTGCCCACAAATCTTTTATAACGACAGGCCTGCGCCGTAGAGAGTATGGCGAGGAGGCAGAAAGCCCAAGGGGCGCCGGGTCATATAACGACTTGGCGGACACCTGAGTTCGCCCGAGACGAGCCCGGCGTGAACTGAGGAAAAGGTTGTGATTGTCGTGGTGGATTGTCAACCAGCTAACAAAGGGGGTCGCTAGTCTACTCAAGTGATGGCGCGGAAGCTTCATTTCCACGAGCCACTGTCGAGATGAGATGCGAGCGGAAACTTTCCTCGCTCTCGCTTCTGCTCCGCAAACGATCATATGGCCTGTAGAGCTGAAAGTAGACAGACTTGACGAGGACCGAAGATTGGCGTCTGTCGGACTGGACTCCTGAACCGCGGCTGTCTCGAGTCTTCGCCCCTGACAGTCATGCTCTGACTCGTCCGTTGAGGAACGAACCTGATTGACGCTCATACGCAATGCTGCAGCTCCATTCAAAGAAGAAGTGATGCTGATGGCTCGCAGCTGCTCTCGTCTCACTCACCTTCTTCTGATAGGAAGGCACATGTCAATGGAAGCGTCCAGAACCTGTCAAACTCGAAAGAGCGAGAGAAGCCCACGTGAAGCGAACACTTTTCCAGACGTGGCAGCTCAACACTGGCCGTGCAGATGCAGATCAGCAGTCAAAACACCTCATCCTTGAGTTGAGCCCCTACACAAGACAAAAGCACCCCCTTTCTGTGCGCCTCATCGCGTGGTCTGGCGCTCGGAGGCGTCTGAAGGTCCGACGTTGGGGCCAATGGGAGGCCGGAATAGCTACGGTACAATGATTCGAAATTGCAGAACCATCAGACAAGCTCGTGAGGGCCTCGTGGGGGGTATCACTGATAACAGAAGATCTTACAGACGAACAGCCAGTTGGTAATCGATGTAGGACTCGCACGATGAAGAGGTTGAACAAATTGAGGACAATCAAAGCACGCAACATCTAGCGCCCGTCCGATCATCAAGGGAGACGTGGCATCGCAGCATCATGACGCGTAATGAAAACCTTTGGACAAGTGCTCAGGCAACAGCTTGCCACCAACCTTGATTGCTTCAGCTGATGTGGTCGAACTTGCTGCTCTACCCACATGAGTAGCGAGACATGGAGATGCAGCTCGAGTCACGATGCAACCATCTCCTCGTAGCGAAACAAAAAGAACTCAGTGACAACGCTCGATATGAATAAATGAACACCTGGCGATCATGACAGTACCCGAGATCTCGTCCCGAGTGCCACGGGTGAATGTAAATGGTATTGTGTTCCCTTCCAGTACTCTTGGGATCGGAATATTCATCCAACCATCCCTTCCTTTTCCCGTTTGCAGTCAAGCGTTTGGACCTTGTGCCACGCCACTCTGTTCCGCGGCCGCTCTCGCAGCACCCCATGTCTGTCATCACGAATGGGGATTAGGTCAAACCATGCCACCGTGCGCCTGCCGTTGGTGATGCTCTTGACCGACAGTGCAAGCCAAGCTTCAGTCTCGCCTGGAGCTCCCCAGAGAGGTTTCATCGACCGCGTTAGGTCACAGCCCGGATGGAAGAACTCACACCGAAGTGTGAGCTAGTCGGACGCCCGAGCCGAGTATCATGATGACGATGCCCTGCCTCTCGGAGCCCTCTCCATATCGACACGACACAAATACGATCGAAGGCCAAGCCGGAGAGGGCCTAGGAAGAAAGCACAACCCAGCGTCAGGGGAGCCAGTCCACAACACCATCAGGCGAGATGACCCTCTGCAGCCCAGTGAAGAGCAGAGCCACCCCTGGAAAGGGAGGGGGTCATCGCCCCGGGCGGGCCAGCTGGAGCTGCCCTCCACTCCTGGCACACAATATCCCCGCCGTGTTATGGCGTCGCACCGCAGCTTTGCCTGGTAGGTACATACCACTGTGTCTTTTCATGACGCCAGGGTCCCATCAGCCGACTCATTAGCGATCACGCGAAGTGGCCAGGAGTCCGGCAGTCAGTCCTGGCCACCCCTCGCAAGGTCCAATCACAATACGGAGGCATGGGAAAAGAACTTGGTAGCTTTTTCAGGGAGATGTTGTCAGGTGCCTCCAATCGCGTCCCCCTCTCAGAGACAACAGGGAGTTTCACCGGTCTCCCTAGGGCATGAGTGCCCACAAGGCGCTACCAAACGTTGACAAGTCCGCCGGCAGCCTGGTGAACAGACTCGTTCTCATAGGCTGTCACACTGGGCAACCCCCGCCCCCTCCGCGCATATGTCAAGTCTGCAAGGTTAGAGCTCGCACGCAGGAGCTTGATGCAACTAGCTGGAGTGAATGTATGGAGGGGATGGAGGGTGTGGGTTTCTTCAGCAGGCAGGGGATGCACATCATCACGTCGCCCACAGTCCACACCCATTCTGTGCCAAGCCCACCAATCGGTGAGTACTCTGAGCTCATTTTCGGCAGTCAGTGGTCAGGAAAGGTCCGAGAATATACTTCTTTGGCTTCAGGCGGGCTCATTTTCCTTTGATGTTATTTGATGGTCATTGTTGAGAGACCTTCCAGGCAGGGTTTCGTGGAACATGACAACCTTGGCACAATTACGGGTGCCGTCTCCAAGCCTGCTATATGCACTTGACGTTAGCATCTCGCTTCATTGTAACTGTCAGATCTCGGGTATGACAGGCCCTAAAGCTGCCTGAAGGGAGGGCCGTCCCGCCTGTCATGGTCTGGATATAGATGCAGACAGGCGCCCAAAATGGCATGTGGCGAGATCATTCATCTGCTGAGACGGAGCCCAAGGTTCTGACAGCATTTCTATGTGCAGCAATGCGCCAATTGCAAGAAGGTACAATTCCACAAAACTACTTATCAGCGCGATTGTATTTGCTCAAGTCCCCTTCGCCATATGTGCATGCTACTAAGCTAATCATTTTGTTCCTGTTGGTATACTGGGGGAAAAGCCTCGTCGTTGCATTGAGGAAAGAATGACTGCGAGCCAGACAACAAAGAGAGAGAGGAAAAGTAGACTAGCTAAAGCAAGAAGCACCCTTCATTCCTCATCACTATCCTCAAGGACAAATGCAGCGGAACCGGCGGTATACTTTAGTGTAGGGTATACGTCCGTGGGTACCACGGGGAAGATTCGGTCAACTGGGTCATCGCCGTAGGCATATTGCCAAGGAACAGACATACTCGTAGGGATGGACCAGCCCAATTTGGAATTCCGCAGCCACAGTCTGACAAGGTGACGTGTGTGTGATTCAGTGTCTAAGTATGCATCCCGACTGTGCAAGAGCGCCCAGTTATTGAAGAGGATGATATCTCCAGGCCGAGCTTCAATGCGGACTCGATTTCTGTGACAGGCTGCTTTCAAGGCCTCGAGTGCTACCCTCTGATCGATGCTCAGATCTGGGACTGGCGCCTTATCTGAGCCACGGGGCGAGGACTGGGGTCCTAGCCGAGCTGGGTCAACGCTGACCAGTAGCCTCCCCTGATGGAACGTTAAGAGAGGCGCCTGAATGTATCGACAGGGAGCTGCAGGCCATTCTGGTTCCAATAATGATCTGACCACGCAGGTAGTTCGGGCCTGTCTTTTGGAAATTTGGATCGGCCAATTGGGTTCCAGCAGGGTCTGAAGAACGCCTGGGCGGGAAAGAAGATCGTTGAAGACCGATGACGCTGAAGAGACATATGTATTGCCTCCTTCAGCAGAGCAGCCGCGAACATGAAGAGCGACAATGTCTGTTCCCATGTCTGTGTGAAACGGCAATGATGCGTTTGAGTGTATTCCATGCCTCTCATTGCGAGGAATCTCCCATCCCTTTGATTCGGTAATGTGCGACAGCATGTGTCCCTGCTTATTCTGAAGGCCTCTTTGGTCGCCTATGTAGGACGCAATGCCTAAAAAGACAGTTACACTATCCTCGACAGAGTAGCATGAAGTGGCGCCGCGAAGCACACAGAAGCCAACACCCTCATGGATGGTATGCGCACATTGCTGAAGCTTGTCGACAACGCTCGAAGGCAAAGGGAATTGGGTATGGTCGATCTCCTCAGGGTCGAGACCTAAGTCTTTACTCATCTGTGGTCAGCAAAACAACTCCGGCCTTCATGACTAGACAGGGCTTACCGAGTAAGAACTCAAGAGCGTTGTCAATATGAAGCCTGTCTTTCGCTAGATCAATAGTGTAGACCGATGGATCAGAAAAGCTGTCCTGGCGCCATGCCAGAGGTCCTCCAATGGGCTCTCGTTCGCTTGTGGGGGAAGTGAAAGCCGAAGAGATCGTCATGTTGATGACGATGGCCTTAGCCTGATAACCCGGGACTGGTTTTCAAGCGCACGACTTGCCACCGGTCTGAGGCAGAGTTCAAGAAGGCGATTGAGGTTACTAGGCCCTCAACGGAGGGTGAAGCAGGAATCCATGCTGAGGGCCCTCTATTTAAAGAAGTTGGGATATTCAGGGCCTGTGGAGCGTGGCACACCGATGGATCGATTGTCTCGCCGCGGATGGTTCCCGCAGGCCATGATGAGCTATAGCCCTGCAGAGGCGGAAAGAAGGGTTGTATCAAGCTTGCCGGGTACAAGCGAATCGAGGTGAAGGAGGGGGTTCCACGCCCATTGTGGTGTAGTGGGATAGAACGGATGGGCAGATGGTGTTCCCCGGCGAAAGATGGCGACGAGATCGCGGAAAAGACCCCCGGCCCTTGTCAGTAGGGACCATCGTCGGAGCTTAGCTCGGGAGGGGATATGCGTGTGTTGTGGCCGGAATCTAAGCTGCTAGAGAGCAGAGGTCGAGGCCCGTCAAGAGAATCGTGGGTACGTGTGACGTGACGGAGCTTCGGAAGATGGGCCTGGCGACTAGGGTGCTATGGTATTTGTGGTCACTGAGCCATGTACAGGAGGCGCGCCACTAGGCTTCCTACCAGGGGCGTTTGTCCGGCCGGACCAGTCCGTCGTCAATGACTTGTGGACCCGCGTACTTTCGGGTGGCTGAAGTCGGCCAGGTCCAGGTGTTAGTCGTCAGATCAGGATGACAGGCCGATTGACGATACGAAGGTGTCGTCGATATGGTTTCGGCTGTTGCGATATGACCAGGATGGGACAAGGTAGGTAATGGAACGATGAGAAGGTCTTTCTTGGCCAACTGTCCGGCCGGCAATTGTCTAAGACCAACTGTGGTTGGATTGGTCGTACTGTAGGTACATGATCATTTAGTGACTCCATCGCGGAAACGGCGGATCTCTTACAGCATTGTAGCTGAGAGCTCGCGGGTTTGGTGACCTGATGGTGGTGATTACGAATGCAGATGCCAGATCGAAACGTTCCGCCACCCCTTACCGTGAGGTATAAGGTGGGGCCGTTGGGCCTTGATGGCGTTCTCGCCTCCAAGGGTGATCGTGGTGGCTCCAGTTCGGGTTGAGAGAATCTGATGATCTTTCGCGCGCGGTTCCCCAACTTATCGACTGGGAGCGATAGATCATCCATGGTGAGTGAAAGGCCCCCCACGGGGAATCGGGATTCAGGAACTTGCGGCCTAGACCAGGTCGAGGATCGCAGTGCTCTCTTGGGCTCCCGTGTCCTGGACCGACCACTGACTCGAACGAGTTCTCAATGCCGATGCTTTGATCCTGCAGGATGGGCATGTACGTATATGAAGAAACTTAAACATGGTTTCGGGTGCGCCAACACTAGGGCCGGGCTAGCAGCCGATTGGGACCATGTACTCCTTTCGGTGAGCCCGCAAGAGGGATTGACGATAGTTAGAGTTTCAATGGTATCCATAGGGCCTGTCAGATTAACCCTTCTGCCCCTGCATTGACAAGCTTGGCAGCCCACGCTGCATCCAGCGGCAGTCCAAGCCAGGTCGGTCAGCAGTACATCAAAAATTGTCTGACGCGTACAGTACAGCGAGCGAGCGCGCTTGTGAGCTCTGCGAGCGGAACCCAACAGGGCGAAGAGGGCTGATGGCTCAAGGCTGCAGATAACGCGTAAAGAGGTTGGGTTCTAGGATCGAGGACTCAGTGTGCTAGGCGATGATCAGAAGATGATAAAACGCCAGAGGCTCCATGCAAAAGCGGTTCCCCTCGTGGCACACAGGCAGACGCCCATTCCAACTCCAGAACAGGGGCCTTCACAGGCGACAGCTGTGCACCAGCTGGCGATCTCGTGAGCGTTCTACACGTGACTTTGATTTCGCTCACGTGCAGCCTTTCATGTCAGCCTTGAGAACCGACGCTATGATGGTTGGTCCTGGGTCGTGAAATTGATGAGCGAGTATACCTGTGAGCAAACGACAGGCTGACTGGGCACTCTGAGCTGTCGAATAGGTGAAAAGGACACTGTGGGCAGACTGCCACTACCAGAGTCGACTTCAACTCACCGCTTGGCCAGGCAGCCTTTTATTGTGCGACTCACCTCACCTTCCTGGTTGGTACTGTTCGCTGCGTTTGCTCCGGCCTCGAGAGCCAGTTGACACCAGCGTTGTCTTTCTCCTCTTCCTGCAACTGTTCCTCACGATCGAGAGGCAATGGTGCGAGTGGAAATGAGATCGGCGACCATCAGAACGATCACTCAACACGCGCAAGGTCAACGACGGTGCTTCGCCGCTTCATACTTCGAGTCGCGGGAAACGGCGGGAGCCTGTTGAGGGTGAGCCGCTCAGTGAAAGTTGCCCAGCATCAGCGGGGTGTGAGAGAAAAGAGGCAACCGGGTTGTTGCCCGGTCTGGCTTGGCCTGGCCCGCCCCCGACTCCCCCGCTCAGCCCTCATCTCCCTTTTGCGCAGACTCAAGCTGAAGGTGCGCGGGCGGCGCGGCCAGAGAAGGGGGGGAGTCAGCATCAGCGCAGGACAAATCTGTCATCGTCTTGGGGCCATCACCAAGTCTCATCATCAGCACTCAACTTGCGCGTCGTCGTTCGACATCTGAGCAAATCGGTTGCATGCTCGCGCGCGCGCAACAGGTCGCCGGTCTGTTCGCCATCAGCGCAGGGCGCTCGTGTCCAGCTGTCCAGACTTCCGAGTCGGTACGCCGTCACCGGTCAAGACAGGGTCGCCTTCTAAGTTGATTTGCACGATTCCCCGATGCAGGTTGCAACCCCCCTCGCGACAGCTGAAAGACGGAGCCGGTCGAGGATGCCATCCGGCGCTTCACCAGGGGCATGGAACGGAAGACCTCTGGGAGCGCCGCCCGCAACCCTGGTGAGTGTGTGCTGTTTTCTTAGTTCGCGTTCCGTCCCGATGCCAGGTGCGCATCGCGCGCCGACGGTCCCTCCTCTGTGTTGCAAGCGCAGCATTGCCTCCGTTCCCATTCAGACTGCTGTCACAAATCAGGCGTCGGGAGTATCGACACAACAAAGGATCGCGCCGGCAGGAATATTGATCACACCCTATATTTCTGCACGGCAAGCTCCGTTGGTCGATCGATGGGCAGAAGGGCGTCGACAAACGGCGCGCGACCTGAACATCCCCCCTCTGGCGGCGCAGCGCGCGTTGGTGGGCAGATGTATTGACGAGCATTGAGCGACAGGCGCCCGTTCTGAAGAGGAAGCGTCGTACTGGCACAGCAGCAGCAGCAGCAGCAGCAGCAGCAGCAGCAGCAGCAGCATCAGCAACAGTAGCCGCGACTGCTCGGCCAGGCGTGGCAGACGCAAAAAGTTGGTTTCCAGGCCAGCAGCGGTACCACCAACAGCACCAGCAATCCAGCCACCGAGCGCGGTTTTCGACCGGTGAGACGAGCAAAGGCGATGCGACCGTGGGGCTGCAACCACAGCAGGGATGGTGTCCTGTAGGGTCGGACAACCAACAACAATGGTCGCATGCCGAACCTGCAAGGACTGCGACCATTGCTCCCAACAACAATAGGAATTGGGCCGGGAATCATGCTGGCAACAACGGTATTTCCGCCAGCGTTTCGCATCCCGCCAACGGCCAGTGGACGGCGATCAACCTGGATGTGGTCGGGTGTTTGTCCACGAGGCCACCATCACCAAGAGCGCTGCCATCACCTTCAGCACAATCACCATTGTCATGGAGCAAGGAGCCATGGGCATGCGCAACGCCAAACTGCGAGGCGGATCCGCCCTTGAAGCCAAGGCAGGAGGAGCCGACCATGACGATGGCACACGAGCCTTCTGGACAGGCGGCAGGCGCACCTGGATCTGAGTTTGTGTCCGCATCACCGGCGCCATCTTGGCCACACACGCAACACCACGGGATGGCTGCTCCTTCTCCTCTGGTGTTTTTCCTGCCATCCGATGGAGGCAGGCACGAGCCCAGAGCCATTGCCGGCACACATCACAGCGGCAGGGACTCATACAACGTCTCGAATCTTCCGCACAGTTGGCAACGGCAGCAGGAACTGCCATTCGTCACCGCCGCCAGAGCCAGCCCCGACTGGGTGCCCAGTGCTCTTGCCCACCAGGCTGTGACACGCCACGACATCACCTCTCCCTCACAATCCGTCAGCTCCTTCCCTGCTGACCGGCTTCCCCGGGCTCACCGGTCTCCTTCCGAGTGGGGCGCTATTAGTGCACCTGTCTCTGGCCTGGTGCCCGCCTCGAACTCCGCTTACACGGCAGGATCGACCCAGGCGATCCCGGCAACCACTGCGCTGGGTCCGACCGACCCTTGCGTACCCGGACGACAGCCGCAGCCCAACCATGGCCGCCCCCAAGAACCATGGCCGCTCAAGGATGAGGACCAGGGACGAACCGTCGCCCATGCACAGAATCACCATTTCGGCCACAACCACAATCACGACCATAGCCATGTTGGCGGTACCGCCAACCGACCCCTGGCCTCGGATCAAAGCCGCCCGACCTCTCACTACCACTACCATGGCCTGCCTGCCAGCCCTGTCGTATGCCCTGACTGGTCCATGGCCGTCGACAACCCGACATCTTGGGCCTCGTCTGTCGAGTCGGCTGCTCCCCACGCCCTCCAACACGTTCGGCCATCTTTGACTCGACACGGCCAGCGGTTTGCTTCCGGCTCTAGCTCCATCATCGGCGATTCGTCCACACCCACAGCCCTGGGACTGGTGACGACACGTTGCCAACCCGCTTACCCACGTCCATCCCCTGCCGTGGCCCCTGCGACGTTGGCGACCGGCGGTGAGCAGCCGTGGTCTTTCTCGCAGTTCCTACAAGACCAGACTGATCTGCTGGGCCTCGACCAGCAAATCTTCCGTTCCCAGATCACGGACAGCCTGTCTATCGACGAGAGTCACGGCCACCCTCAGCACCAGCTTGCCCATCCTACTCCTAGCAACACCATGACCCTCATCTCACTTGACGGCACACGCCTGAGAGATGGCGTCTCCATCCGGCGGAGCGAGCAACAAGCAGCTACTGCATTGGGCTGGAGCGGCTCGTCCCTGTCGTCCGTCGAACATGTCGGCCATGTACCGGCGCATGGGCCCACCTTTGGACCTGCTAACCCACCAGTGACCAACGACAACTGGGTGGATGACTTTCCGTACATGGTCAAGCCAGAAGAGGCTCCTCTCGAGTACAGAGATATGCATTTCCGGATCGCTTTGGCGCCAGCAAACGATGATGACAATGATAATGACGCGGCCGAAGACCCAGATGCCAACCACGCAGACAAGAAGCCTAGAGGTTGTTTCGACGACGAGAAGCGAAAACAGACGGCGGACACTCGAAGACGGAAGGCATGTGTTCGATGCCGAACCCAGCGGATACGGGTAAGAGCGTTTCAGGCCCAAGGCGCCAAATCAACCACACCATACAAGACTGACCAGCCGTGACAGTGTGTCGAGAACCCCAAAGATCCTCATGGCGACTGCATGACCTGTCTTAGTGTCGATACAACTTCGCGGAAGACCACCCGGCCCGTTCATTGCATGCGCTCCAAACTTACCGATATCATATTGTACCGTCCAGCAGGCTCCTTGAATTACACCCAGCGCTGGGACGGATCACGAGTGACTGATGTAAACGACTGGGATGGCCCGTTGATTCAACACATCGACATGATGCAGGATATTTGCCCCGTCGGCTTCCCAATCCGGCTGGAAGTACGCAAATTTCACCCTCGAGAAGGCGACAGAGTCCATCGCGAATGGTACACAGCCAGCAAGGCAAGACGACACGAGATTGCTCCGTACGCTCTGGCAAACCTCTCCAAAACCGTCCAATACTTCAAGGACTACGTCTCAGAGCATGCAGAGAAGGCCTGGCGACAGTACTGGAAGCGGAAAGGACAGGACGATATCATCTCGCGGCACTATAGCGAGGCCATGGCGCACACCCACTCTTTGGTGAGTATCCACACGCAAATTCATTCTGTCTTCGGGCAAGTTAGTTGACCTAGCCACAGCATCTACCTCCTCAGGAACGAGAGCTTCTCGAGAATGTTTTCAAGCTTTGGTTCGCTACTCGTACGTGCCCATTCCCCTGTCTGCCGTTCCCCATCTCCCCAGCTCGCCCCTGACGCCAGCCAGAAATCACGCTTGGGTCTTCTTGGATTTCCAGTGAGGACAAACTCGGCATCATGCCTGAAACGGACCCGGCATATCCCCAGCCTAACAAGGCCCCCACTCCCAAGATGGTCGTTGCCCAGTTTGACAGGCTAAACCCCATCTACGTGCTGCGGCAACTGCGTGCCAAGGTACTCAAAGGGCTGGAAAAGCTCACGCAGTCGCCTCGGCGCGAGTCGTTTTTTACGGTTTACATGACTATATACATTCTGCTCCACGTGGTCACTTTGACCTGTCAAGACCGTCACGACTACGCAAAGCGTCACAACAATCGACTTCGCTACGATATGCCCCCTTTTATCGAAAACCTGCAGCATGGCGCCGTTCTTATGCTCTGTCATTGGGATTACTACAAGGGCCGGAGCAATGCCAAGGGCGAGGACAAGGCGCTGACCCTCGAAGAGATTCTCGAGAATGGAGGTGTGTCTCCGTCACAGCGAACACTGATTCTCGACTCGGAAAGGCGTGTGACGCAGTTGAAAGCCGAGGGTATGTCTTGGACGCTGCTTGGACACGAACACAAACTCACTTTTCAGTAGGCAAGATTACGACTGAGGATTACGAGAACCCATACTTTTGGATCAGCCAAATGTTCGACAAGTCTTGGTCCCCGGGTCAGGTCTGGCAGGCAAAGCATTACTAACCAAGTGGAGCTCCTGTCGAGGTATGAGATGATGATAGACGGCGAATAACGTGGTGTACCTGCTTTCATGACGATTCATTTTCCCATCGCATATGAGTCTTTTTCTGCATTTTCTTTCTTTATCGACATAGCCCAGCCATTCATACCCTTACACCGCGTCCATTGCGGCGAGGATAGTTGTAATTTATGGTGATTGTACTACCACTATGTTCGGGCGGGCCAGTGCGGGTGTGAGGAGCATTGAGGCGTATTCGGAGAATGTTGGCACCAACATGGTATCCTAAACAGCGACGCACCTCTGGGCAGGACGAAGACCTTTGCTGGAAGAGAGTACTTACTGCATTGCATTGACGACAATGACCGCTGGCATATGGAGGAAGCGGGGATCATCGTGGCAGCAGCGGTCCCACACGGCCACTACCTACATAGTAGGTACCTTAGCTTGCTTGGGTACATGTAGGTAGGCTGACTGAGATGAGCGCGGCGACCTCTCGGAGGCTAGAGACGGACACCGTGCTGTGCGTTAGTGCGGAAGAAATGGCCTGATGGAGATGACGAGCTGACGAGCCAAACCGAACTATGGCAGCACCACAATTCAAGGGAGCGGTCGGGTCGGTAGGTAGCCATGGACTCCGCCGTCTGATCTCGCACTTTTGCCCCTCTGTGACTCTCACCCCTCACCTCCGGGCAGCCACGTTGTTGGTGGTTTCGTGGTGCTAGGCCAGCCGAGTGCTACCTGGCCCTACTTCTCTTGATTACCCCGACAGTCGCCGAGGACCACATGGCAGAAGGGCATGGTGGCCACCCTTATCATGTACAACCCACCGGGCGCATGCGGATGGCGGCTTCGCCACGTGCGCAGCATGCAGCGGCCAGGGGCGCCGCTAGCCGTTTCCCCTCTCCCTTCTCCCCCCTCCCATCTCTCCATGTCATCCCCCCCGGACCAGACCAGACCAGCCAGGCGGCCATGTACTCCCGTTCTGTGCGGAGAGAGCTTGTTCTTGTCGGTTCTCTGCTGTGAAACTTTGATGCCACATGTACTGTACCCTCTCTGCAGCTTTCTCTCTTTTTTGCTGGTTCCCAGGGTTGTTTTGTTTCGTTTTGGCGTCATGTATGCAGCGGAGCGAGGGGGACACAGGCGCACGTTGTTTTTCGCCCAACGGCCGAACCGAGCCATGATCGCTCTGACGTGGACGGAGCACACAGACTGGCGGGCGAGAAGAGGGGGCGGGCCAGAAGGGCTGCTAGGCTAGGCCGTCCGCACATGTGCCCGTAGGCTAGTACACGTAGCGCGGCCTGAAAGCAGCGGGCAGAGAGGGCAGGAAGAGCAGAGGAGAGCTTTGGAAGACCCCTATGGATGTGTGTCGCGTGGATACAAGTACACTCGCATCGGCGGGCAGGGGATTAGACACCACGCGTGGCCGAGCGACGGCCCTGGTTTCTCTCTTTGTCAGTGCCTGCATCGAGACTAGGAAGGCGAGGGGGGGTGGTGGTGGTCGAGGTGGAACGGCAGCATTTCCTTCGTGCATCAAGCGAAAAGGAGAGGGGAGGGGCGCCGACGGAGGAACACGACGCGGGTTTCTAGATTGCCTGCCTGTCTTTGACAGGGCTGGGGGCGCGTTGTTGACTTGGGCTGAAACAGATCGTCATGGGCGAAATGAGAAAGTTCGGTTCTTCTTTTTTTTTTTTCTCCTGTCGTTCTCTGACATTGTATGCTTTTTCTTAAGCTTCTGGCAAGGTGAAGGAAAATTGCACAGGCAGATAGACTATACGTAGGGTGCGACTTGGCTTCGTGTTGGATGGCCAGATTGTTGGGTCGTGACACGAGGTGATCTGCATTTGACTCCCACCCTGGGACGCCAAAAAAAAAAAATAAAGAAAAAAAAAGGTACCAACCAGCCAGGACATAACCTCGGCTTGACCGACAGTAGATTAGATGCCCAGAGAGGCACCTCAACACGCGAACGACATGGGATGTGACGGTTTGATGGGTGATGCATTGATGAGGAACGACGTGTGCGGTGCATACAGCAGTGGCGGCGCCTCCCAGCTAGCAGTTCCTGTCCTGCTCCTCGTTCTGCCTGTGGCGCCTCTCGATTGACGTCTCGACTGCTTGCTGTAACAGACACGCGCTGTTCCAAGCTGTCACAATGCTAGAACAGTACCTTGACTCCTCATGGCGCGGATTGGAGGACTGCCGGTGTCTACCAGGGGGGGGGGAAGAGTCTGCCCGCCGCATTCTGGGCTGCCAGGGCGGGCTTAGGGGCCGAACTGGGGCCTGAAGGGGGGTCCTGTGGCTGAGGCCTTGAGCGCTGGGATTGGCCTGGACCCGCGCTGGCCCCCCCCCCAGAAGCCTTTCCCAGACAGCCAGACAGGGCAGAAGAGTGTGTGGTGGTGACGGTGACCGGGGGTCATGGCTGTCGAGGTCCGCCTAGACGTTTGAGATGGGAGATCCCAGGTCCCGCCTTCCTCCCTTTCGTCCACGTACCTTACTCTCTCTCCCCAAGACGCGCATTCCTGCCGCTCCTGCTTCTGCGCCTGCTCCTGCTCGTGAACCACGCGGCACGTACCTTCTCCCCCTCGTCCCTTGTCGTTCCTACGATACTTCCCTCCTTCATATTCAACTGGACAGAACCAAACAAATCCCCCCCCCCTTTCGCCTTGCCCCCTTTCGCAACCCCCTTTGCTTAAACCCCCCCATTCCCGAACGCGATCGATCCCCTCCGACCGACCGGCACTCGAAATCAGAAACACTCTCATCATCGAACCTGACGACAAGACAAAGACGGCGGCCCCCCAATTTCCGACAAGGCCCCCCCCCCTCCCACTCGCCTCGCCTCTAAACCTTCAACTCAAACCCCCCGTCACATCGTCTGTCTCCGCTCTTGTCTGCCTAACAGCCGGTTTGACCAAGATCGCTTCTCGACAAGGACCAAACTTTTTTTTCCTCACATCTGCGCATCGTCGTCATACTCCCGCCAACATGCCTGCTTCCCTGGAATCCGCCCGGCCCATCATGGCGCCCTCGGTATGTGACCCTGATTCGTCATGAAGCCCTTTCTTCCCTTTAATCACCTGTCCTGCCCTGTTCTCTCCGTCACGCGCACATATACACTCGCCGTCCACCACATCCAACGATCCATCTCCAACACCGTCTCTGCAATTGCCGCTGCTTCCCTTCATCTGACACAGGCCAGGCCCGCACCTCTGTCCGCTACAGTACGTACAGCATGGCGCCCACCGTCCTGACCACCGACTCGGCCCACGCCGAGCTGCGCGACATCGAGTCCGGCCTCGACCGCATGGAGAACAAGGCCCTGACGTCCCAACGCGTCGAGCTATCCGAGGAGAAGAGCGCCAACCTTAGCAAGCTCGCCCTCGGCGCCAAGCTCGAACGCGCCCTCGACAGGCGCATGAGCGGCCAGGACGCCGTCATGCGCCGACCCCCCGCCGCGAAGCTGAGCGAGAAGCAGGCCGTCTAAGCGGCCGCAGACGAGCAACGCCGCGACACTCTATCCTTTTCTTTTTTTTATCGGCATGATTCTTTTGCATGAAGAAAACGTGGGGTGAGGCTGTGGACGGATACGAATGATACCTTGAATACGGCGGCCGTACAGCAATGGACTGAAACGATTTTCAATGGCGTGGAGAGAGAGAGAGAAGGGGGGAGGCTCAGAAAGCTGCGGAAGAGGCCCGGCAACGAAACTTGAACGAATCGGAGTCGAGGGCTGAAGAGACGGTCCCGTGAACAAGGCGGTTTGTCAGGCACACGACATAGGACAGGCCGTCTTGAGCTCAGTCAATTCACGGGAGATAATAGACTTGAAGGGCGGAACGTAGAGGCGGTATGATGCTCCGCGCGTCTCGGATTCGTGGGCGCCGTAACCGGCAGACAGGCGTGGCGATAGTCGGTCTTGAGCATACCGGAAGGGGTGGTCAGAGGCATGGTTTATTGGAACTCGTCATTATATTGGGTTACTCAGCTGGCCACGGGGTCTTGATATCAATTTTTTTTCTCTACTCCTGAAGCTTCGTTGAGCTTTGCTATTATGAAGTGTTTGTCTGACTGTCTGTGAAAAGAACGAAAAAAAAGTGCAACGCGACTGCCGTTTTAAACCATGCTTCATCGTCCGCAGTGGACGACCATTTTGTCCGTCTCTCGAGGTATCCCATGCCACCCCCCAATTGCGAAAACTGATCATATCCGGTACAAAAAAAAACGAATTAGAAAACTCCTGCTCTCCCAGGCCCGACGTTGCCAAGCAGACGGTTCCTCCTGGCCCGCTCAGCGTTGGTGCTCTTCCGGCTCTTGAGTCTCTTGCTCCGCCTGACAGCCACAGACGCTCCGTGGGTGGCCAGGTACTGCATCGCGTCGAAAGCATCAACCACCTAAGCCTTGGAGCCCCTCGCGATGCGCGTCTCAATCTCCCTCAGCAGCGCGACGAGCTCGGCCTCCTCGCCCTCCATGCCGAGGCCGCGGCGCACCCACTCGCGCGCCTCCTCGAGGCGGCCCATCTCCTGCAGGCAGCGGCCGCGGCGCCACCAGGCCTTGGCGTTGCCGACCTTGCGCGCCTCGACGCTGGCCTCGGCGTCGACGCTGCCCTCGGCCCACTGCGTCAGCGCCATGTGCGCTTGCGCGCGGTTGGCGTACAGCCCGGCGACCTCCTCGCGCACGAGCTGGTTGGGCTCCCACGGCGGCCGCTGCAGCGCCATCTGGATGCCGAGCGTGTAGAACCGGATGGCGTCGGGGAACTTGCCCTTGCGGAACTCGCCGTTGCCGCTGTCGCGCAGCTTGGCCACGCCGGCGCTGCGCTTCGGGTTCACCGGCACCGGCGGCGGCGGGATGCCGTGCGGCGTCTCGAGGCCCAGCAGCGTCCGGTGCAGCGTGTTCAGCGCCTCGAGCTCCGTCGTCAGCGCGCGGTTCGAGCTCGGCGACGAGATGGCCTTGGACTGCGCGTCCATCTGCAGCGGCAGGGCGTCGAAGTGTGTGAGGGCCGACATGGTGGGCTGGCGGGGGGTCGTGGATTCGTCTTCTTTGGTGTGTGTGTGTGTCCGAGATGAATGGAAACTGATGGTCGGTAGGCGTCAGAGAGGTTTTGCTTCTTTATGGTGCCCGCTGCCGTAATCGTGTGCTGCGTTTGCAAGGGCTGGGTGTAGCTGTCGAGTCGTGATCGTCGCGTCTGGTAGCCCTCCGCCGTGCTT